CAATGGTGTGGCCAGTGTAAATAACATGGCCAACCAACCCTCAACATCAAACTCAGCGAGCACCATTGCTGGGCTTCTTCACCAGAATTCTATTAATTCCAGACGGCAGAACTCTTTGGCTGATGCTAGCAACTCATATGGGGGAAGTTCTGTTCAGATTCCATCTCCTGGTTCTTCCAGTACAATTCCACCTACGCAGCTGAACCCTTCTACATTCCAGCCACCGACTCCTTCATCATCTAACAATCTTTCACAACCATCGCATGCAGCTGTGAGGAATGGCAATCAGATGAGTGCTGCTAATTCTCCGGCAAATGTCTCTATACAACAACCTGCCTTATCTGGAGATGCTGATCCTAGTGATACACAGTCCTCCGTGCAAAAGATCTTACAAGAGATGATGATGAATAATCAAATGAATAGTCCGACAAGTCTGGTTGGTGTTGGTTCGGTGGTCAATGATATGAAAAACGTGAATGGGGTCTTACCTACAAGTAATCCAGGTCTCAACAACGGGAATTGTATTGGGGGAAACGGAGCAACCAACAGTGGCTCAGGAACGGGAGGAGGTGGATATGGATCAATGGGCAGTGGGCTTGGTCAGCCTGCCATGGTTAATGGAATGAGGACTGCAATGGGAAATAACTCCATTATGAACAGACGAATAGGAATGGCTTCGCTCGCTCTTGAACAAAGCATGAATGGCCAACAACCGCAGGATATGGGAAACCAGCTTCTTAGTGGACTAGGAGCTGTGAATGGCTTCAGTAATCTCCAATTTGACTGGAAGCCGTCCCCATGAAGAAAACAGCTATATATGGATCATCATACGTGGTTTGGAGCGTAATCTCTGCTGCTTGTGCAGCATTCAAATTACCAGAATTTGCCGATGGCCCTGCGAGAGATGGCAGGCACCGCATGGCAAAACAGGTACGGGGCATAATGATTCACACTTTGTACCTATATATTTGCTTTTATATTATACGAAATGGAAAGTCTGACGGCTGGTGATGGTGATAGGGGCAGGTTGTCTGTGATTTCCATTGTAACCTGCGATTTCTATAAGTTTTTTCCCTCTAATATTTGGCCTATTTAGCTACTTCATTGTCTTCCTTCTTCATAGCATATTGGGTTATGCTATGCTTTTCAAGGAATGTGGTCATTTGGAAGAGAATCCAAAATGGGCTGCAGAGTGCTAACCAAAGGAAGTTTCAATTCAGGTGAATGAATTACTTGAGAAAGTACTAAAAAAACAAAATCAAGGGGTTCTCCTACAGTTTTGGGGAACTAGAAGGTTGAGTCCCAGATGCTAAATCTACAAACAGCCCACATGGATGGCAAAACAAGGTTTCCCCTCAGTCTTGGTACAACCTGTTGTTGTTCTTGTTAGTATTTGACGAATGATTTTGCATCAGGAGATTATAATTTATTGCTCATGGAAATGACTTGTGTATGCTTAATCTTACGGTCGAAACGAACAAACCCGAAAGAATTGCACAAAAAACTTTCTATTCTCATATGTGAATCATGTTCACAGATAAAAGAGCAGACAAAGCCTCGTGCTGAGTTATTATGCAAGTCAAGAGAAAGGAAATATCACCATTAGTGACAAGAGAAAACTACAAAAATAGTTCCAAATTCGAAAAGGTTACGAATAGACTTCAAAAACCTTACTTAAACAATTCAAATACACGAAGAACAAAAAGAAAATTGTCGAATTGAAGAAGAGATCCATAAATTTTTTGCAATTTTTACAAGCTGAAGAAGAAAAATATTGGAAGGTATCTCTGATGGAGTTCGATGATGGGGGGATTCTTCAAAATTAAACCTCGGCATACTTGTCAATGGTGGCGGCCAAGGTGGATCTGGGCACAGCCCCACTGACGCTCTCTCTTTTCTCTCCATTCTTGAAGAACAGAACCGTGGGAATGCTTCTAATACCATATTTTGAGGCCACATTTGGGCTGAGATCTGTATTGAGCTTCAAACACACAATCTTGCCTGCATATTCCTGTGCCAAATCCTTAATCACAGGCTCAATGATCTTGCAAGGTCCACACCACGGCGCCCAAAACTCCACCAGCACAGCCTTTTGACTCCCGAACACCAAACTGTCCCAACTCGACTCTGTCACCTCCGGCACTGCACGAAGAAAGGAAAATCTCATCAAATTTGCAAACCCCACAAACACAAAAGCAGAGAAGAATCAATGTAATATGAATCGGGAGAGTAGAGTAACCATCATCGACGGCGCCACGAGCTCGACAGAGGGAGAAGGATTTTCTGAAAGTGGAAATGATGGTAGAAGGGGAGAAGGACTTGTTTCCGGAAGTGGAAATGGGCAATTTGCGTTGAAGGGTTAAGGTTGTGTTTAGGTGGTGATTATAACAAAAGGGATGAGATTTGATTCTGGGAGTGGTGGCGCACATGGCGGTGGCGGTGGCGGCGGCGGTGCTCAGTTGAACACAGTTATCTAGTGCCATTGGAGATGGGTAAACGGAGGTGTTTGTGTTCGTTCTATTACCTTTTTTTGATGTTTTTAAGAATGTAGATTCTGTTAATGGGTTTCAGTGAATTTGAATATTTTTGTGAGTGTTTATGAGGCTTGGAGTGGAAGGCGTCGTTCAGAGAAATATGTGGATCTACACGCCCTATTCTTGTGCTCCACGCAATTGTATTCAATCAAAGTTTTTTTTTTTTTTTTTTTTTTTTTTAAATCTTTTTCATCATATTTGGAATTTAATATATATATATATATACCAACTTAAAAAAATTGTAATAATATATGTTTTAAGGTAGTTGGTTGACGACTGTTTTAAAAAATTTATTGCCACTTCTGATATATGTTTTAGCTAGTTGAGTTATGCTCGAATTCAATCTATAATTATATTTTTTTTTTCTCACGTTTATAGAAAATAGTAAGAAAAAAAGGAAGTTAAATTGTTGGTTAATGGTAAAAAGAAAAAGAAATAAATTTGATATCCTTCTACGAACGAATTTGTGGAGTGTAAGTTTTTAAGTAGAAAGGTTGAATTTTGTGGGAGAGATATTTGATTGAATTGGAAAGATATTAAAATTTTACCATTTCGTGTTATCCGCCAAAAAAAAAAAAAAAAAAAACTAACATCGTTCTAGATGCCTTAAGCAATCAAATCAACCTTTACCTAAAGTCAACAATCGATTTCATTGCAGGTTCAGATTTACGATGCATAGAGCTTGTCCCAAGTCCACTAGAGTAATCTGAGCGACTGTAATAGAACACTTTATTTTAATTTAGTCGATACATCTAAAAATTGTAACACACAAGAATTAACCAAAATTTTATTTATTAAAGAGAAAGAAAAAAAAAAGATTAATTAAATTTAGAGTGGAAAAAATTAGTGTAAGAAAAGACGAACACCGAAAGAATAATGTCAACTGAAATCTTTTTTAAAAGCAAACAAAACACCACAAACTAAACTTGGTAGTTAACCGGTCACTATCTCCTCTACTATCTAATCACCTCTCTTCGTTCGATTATCACATATATCGTCGTTTATGATTAAAGTCCCACATCGGCTAATTTAGGGAATGATCATGGGTTTATAAGTGAGGAATACTAACTTCATTGATATGAGGTCTTTTGGGAAGCCCAAAACAAAGCCATGAGAGCTTGTACTCAAAGTGGACAATATCATACCATTGTGGAGAGTCGTATTCGTCTAACAGTTACTATTGATGCCGATTATATTTTTATAAACGGTACTTTTAAATTTAAAAAACGAACAAATATACTTGAAGTCAAAAGAAATAAAAAGAAATAATATTAATATTAATATTAATATTAGAAAAGATAATTCTTATGGGTTACTTCAGCCACTTGTCGGATAACACGTCAACATATGAGAACAAGCCGTATAGATAGGCTGTCTTACGGTCCCTTTGACAACTCCATATGTTGTTGCTAATAACTTTATTTTATTTATTTATTTATTTATTTCATTAATTTTTTAATTAATAAAAATTAATTAAAGTATATAAATATCGACAATACATTAGTAAGCTCATTCACTTAAATTAATTTACTTAAACAATACTTTACTTCAAATCATAGATTAACACTTAGTTTATTCGGTCGCCATAAAATTTCTTTAATCAATTAAAAAAGACGTAATTTATGTTACGAAAAAACCCATTATTTATACGTATTTAATTCCAAAAAAATCTAATAAATCATTTTAAATATCTACAAATTTATAAAATACGAAAATTAAAAATTTATGGACTAAATTTATAATTTTTTTTTAATATTAATGAAATAAATATAATGAACAAGGTTAGGTGTATGTTTGTTTTAAGAAGGTGAGAGAAAAGGTACGTCATAGTTTTCATAACAAAGACATTGGATTTAACAAAATTATGGTGAGTTTTGGGGTACAAATTAAGCAGCTGCTAATTAAGTAATGCTTAATTTAAACTATAACCCTAAATTAATTAACCATAACCAAGGTTATTAATTGTAATTTTAACCTGAAATCTCATATTTTATTATCATATGAACTTATATGAACTTACATTACTGCATGCATGAAAATTAATTAACATATAACCAAAGTTTAATTTGAGAATAATGTCTCTAGGAATCATATATTATACGATGTGGGTTGGAAAAATGTGTTGAAAATAATGACATATATTTAGGAAAGAAGTCTTTGCACTAGGAGAGATGTCACTTTAAGTTAAAAAACCGAAAGCTGCCTTGTTTGGTTAACGTGTATAGACTATCGGGATGGAAAATGGATAGTGATTTAAAGAAACTATTGAACGAGATCGCTACAATGTTATTGCGTTTTGATATACATTTACGGTAACGTCGTGATTTCTCTCGAGATTTTGAGGCTGTCGAGATAGCGAATAAATTTTTTTTAAAAAAAAATGTCGTGTGAAAGCAACAAAAGTGACTGCCTATCCACAACCCTCTCTCTCTCTCTCTCTTAAACCAACCCCACTTTGCTTTATTACTCTTGCTTTGTGTCTTCTTGTTCTTCATTGGCTAGGGTTCTAGCTGGTTGTTGTAAGGTTCCAGATAGATCTTTGATTGTTTTTGGTTCATAAGGGTGTTTGATCGATGATCATGAAGGATTCTGGGGATGTTCATGTTTATGATCACGAGTATAAATCGTCGTGTCCACGAGGCCATTGGAGGCCAGCTGAGGATCAAAAGCTTCGACGGTTAGTTGAACAATATGGCGCTCAAAATTGGAATTCCATTGCTGAGAAGCTTCAAGGCAGATCAGGTACCCTTATTCTCTCATCTAATATATCATCTATTTCCTCTTTCGGGTTCGAGCGGGGAGAAATAATCGCCGTTGATCGTCTTCGATTCAAATTTTTTTGAATCGAATCTCGATCGAGAACGTATTGGAATGATTGTACGGATCGAAAAAGTTGGTAAATAAACGAAATCCACATGAATAATTTCAATAATTCGATGATATATGTAGATTCAAGTAAAGGGTTTGTTGAATTTCTAAATTTGTTCGATCAATTTAACCTAACCCTTTAGTTTTGTTTGTTGTTTGTTAGGAAAGAGCTGTAGATTGAGATGGTTTAATCAGCTCGATCCTAGAATCATTAGGAAGCCATTTAGTGAAGAAGAAGAGGAAAGGCTTTTGGCGGCTCATCGAATACATGGAAACAAATGGTCACTTATTGCTAGACTATTTCCTGGTCGAACCGATAACGCTGTGAAGAATCATTGGCATGTTATAATGGCAAGAAAGCAACGGGAACAGTCCAAACTTCCCAAACGAACTCATCAACACTTTCCAGTTACTTCTTCTAATTTTCTCGGCAACCAAACAGAATCTTCTTCAAGAGATCATCGACAGTTTAGCACTACAATTCTTGTCTCCGACAACAACAGCTTCCACAAAGATGGAATGGTTTGGAATCTCAGACAAAGCTTAAAAGGTTATTCAGATCATAACAATATTCCCATTCTCCATAGGCATTATGCAAATTTTAGAACCTCCCCATCATCACCTCGGTTTTGCTTCCCAACTGCTAAAATTCCTTTTCGGGTTTTTGAATTTGGTAGCACATCAACCACTACACTTGTCAAGTTCATGGCTAATACCGATAATCATCATCATCGTCATCATCATCTTCATGCTCAAGAACAACGACAAGAACAAGAATCACTCAACGACGACAAAGATACTCCCTTCATAGATTTCCTCGGAGTAGGAATTTCTTCTTGATTATATATATATTCCATCAATCTTCTAATTAATTACTCGTTCTTACTAATACTTACGATAATCCTCCTATGTGAAAATTAAAAGTAGTTTTTTTTTTTTTAATATATAGTTTTATACAAAACCCTTTTTCTCATACTATGAGATGGTATTTTAGTTTCATGTATAACTCTTTCCGAATGTTTGCATAGATTAATGTTTCTCTTGAAGTCTCGTATCAATGTCTTGTCAAAATAAAGAACTATCGGACATACCCTAACGCAATAGTTTATCCAAGCATCCTAGAACTACATGTAACTATGTATAAGATTTTTGGAGCTTACGAGATTACTTTTTTAAGACTATAGTTTATTATATTATAGTGGTTTAATTAATAAATAAAAAAATTAGGAGTATATAAATGTGCGACAATATAAAACATTTTAGATAAATACAAAATGAGTGACAAAAACGACATCTAAACTTCCGAACATTTTCTAAGACATGTCCTCCCATGTTATTTAACCGAAAGAGAAACCCCCAACTCCCAATATTTTAATTGGTTATTAAAAAATTTCTTGTTTGTCCTCTGAACATATGTCTTCAAACCCTAAAATTCAAACCGACCTTTTGACAAACCCCGAAATTTTTATTTGTTTGTTTTGGCGTGGAGGATCGAATCGTCAACCTTTTAAGAAACTAACGAGCGTTTTTCAATAATATATGTATATATATTTTTTCTTTTAATAAATAAATTTTTATACATATAATACATCAATATAATTTAAACATAACTGAGTTACTCAAAGTCGTAGTTCAATAAATTATATAAATCTTGAAAATTATCAAATTAGAGTTTTGGTGATTATAAATTTATATTTATATTCCGTTCGTTGTTGAACTGAACCGAACCGAACCGAACCGAACCAGGTTGAGTGTTGGTCAGAAACAATGAACCGGCACAGGAAATGGTGACATGGAAATGACTTGTTAAATCAGGAAACTTTCACCATCATAATCTCAGATTCTCTAATTTAGTAGTTTAAATAATAATTACCTCTTTTCTAGCCTTTTTTTGGTGACCCTATTATTTATAATAATCATTGTTCTTACTCTATTCCTTTATTTATTCATTTATTATTAATATTATATTTCTACCTTATTTTCTATTTTTTTTTCATGCTACTCGACCCAAATTATAAAAATTAAATTGGGTTCGTTTTTTTTAATTTAAGCTTAATTAAATTTTTTACATTTTTTAAATTAAATAACTCAATAATCATAAATAAAATAGAGTTAAGGTTTGATATTTGAATTTTATGAGATTTTAATCGTAAATTTTTAAATAATTAAAAAAATAACTTAGACAGAGGATAAAATTGGGTAGAGCTGTGAACTCTATTTTAGTTAATCGGATCAGTTTGATACAAAAAATAATTTTTAGTTTTATGGGGTGTGAGATCATGTGGACGCAATAATGACGTCATAATTCTATTTGCATAAAGATTTTATATATAAGCACCATTTCAAAATTGAATGAAATAAAGAAGGCAGGCGTGTGGAAGGAGGCCAAGGGGTTGCGCTCCGACGACACTGTCAGCCAGATTGGAATAAATTCCAAGCTCCTAAAGTCTAAGATTGTGGGCACTGCCCATCAGTGGAAGTAGTTGGATGACATTAATACTGTAACACATTGCCTTGTACAAAGCTCACCAACTTTCCTAATTTTTGTGTACCCCATTCATTTCCTTATTTATAACCCCAAGTTAATTCCGGCCTTGGCGTCTTATAAAATCACCTCCTTTTGCCTTCGTAAACGCACCCAAATTGACCAAAAACTAAAAGCTCAGGCTCCGGAGGAAAGAAATATGGGAAGAGGCAGTGCAGTCGGTAGCGCCCTCGTTGTTGCTGCCGTTATCGGGTTGGTTATGATGTCTCAGTTGGAGAACGTGGAGGCAGCCGTTTACACTGTCGGCGACTCCGGTGGATGGACTTTTAACGTCCAAGGCTGGCCCAACGGCAAACTCTTTCGTGCTGGCGATACTCTCAGTAAGCTCCTCTACCATTTTTCTTCTTTTTTATAAAAAAAAAAGTAGGGAAATCTACATTGACCCAAGAATTGTATGAGCCCTTTTGATGAAGCCTAAAACAAACCCATGAGAACTTGTGCTTAAAGTGAACCATATCATACCATATTTGTAGAAAGTCATGATTCCTGACATGGTATCAGAGTCATGCCCCTAACTGGGACATTATCATACCATTGCATGGTATCAGAGTCATGCCCCTAACTAGAACAATATCATACCATCGTGGAGAGTCGTGATTCCTAACATGGTATCAAAGTCATGCCCTTAACTGGGACAATATCATACCATTGCGAGAGTCGTGATTCATAACATGGTATTAGAGTCATGCCCCTAACTGAGACAATATCATACTATTGTGGAGAATCGTGATTCTTAACACAATATCAGAGTCATGCTCTTAACTTAGCATATCAATAAAATCTTCAAAAAAATCCTCAAATGTCGAACAAAAAAGTTGAGCCTCGATGGTGTAGTCAAAAGTAATTCAAGTGATACTTTGTTCAAGGACTTCATAGAGAGGAGCTGAGAGGCTATTCGAGGGCTTTATAGACTTCAAGAGAGGCTCTATGGTATACTTTGTTCGATGGGAGGATGGTTGAGAATTATTGGAACATTGACTAATCTAGAGAATGATCCTATTGGTACGAGATCTTTTGAAGAAACCAGAGAGTTATATAGTCAAGGGGAACAATATCATTCTATTGCGATGAATCGTTGTTTCTGACAATATTTGTTTGCAGAGTTCAATTACAACCCGAAATTTCATAATGTGGTGGTGGTGAACCAAGGTGGGTACACCAGCTGCCGGACTCCGGTGGGAGCGAAAGTTTTCACCTCCGGTAGCGACCAGATAAAGCTGACGAAGGGAATGAGCTATTTCATCTGCAACTTCCCCGGCCACTGTGAATCCGGCATGAAGATTGCCGTGAATGCTCTCTAAATCTGTACCCCTTTCTAAAATCTTTATTTACCGCTGTTAAAATAAAATAACCGTCCGTAATTTATACAGTGGGAGTGTTTGCTTTGTAGTTCAAATGTCATTTCCTTGTCGGGAGCTTATATAGTTTATGCAATCATATCAATGCTTTTCTTTATTTATTTGTTTATTTTTGTCGGTTATAGTAATGGAAAATATAATAATTTATTTTCCAATATTAAGTTAAAATATCTAATTTAAAATTTTAATAACTTACTAAATTCAAACTTCCATCATTAAAAATATTAGAGAAGTATTTGATTAAAAAAAAACATTAAAAATCATTAAAAAAGTCTTTGATTAGAAAAATACTTTATACGTAGGGAGATTGGTCGGCTGTTAACCGATTGGTCGTAGGTTCAAATCCTACTTGGGGAGATTTGATGAAAGGGTTCGCTTTGACCGTTAAGAGTAGGTAATCCGTTCCGTTCTCTGTGTCTTTGTTTCTATTGCTGACACCTACCTCGGTGTAGGTCCAAGATAAGTTCCACAGTCTGGGTCTTGGGTCTATTTACAACTAGTGAGGTAGGTCTATTTACAACTAGCGAGGTAGGTCGAGATAATCCTGTGGATAAGTTCCACAGTCTGGGTCTATTTACAACTAGCCAATGTTCCGTTCTCTGTGTCTTTGTTTCTACTGCTGACACCTACCTCGGTGTAGGTCAGGGATAATCCTGGATACTGGGTCTATTTACAACTAGCCAATTACCAATTACCTCCCTGTAGGTCAGGAATAATCCTAGATAAGTTCAGTTCGGGATAATCTTTTATTCCACAGTCTGGGTCGATAATCCTTTGTTTCGGAGAAATCTACTGATTCTTGTACTTCTCAGCTATATTAACAATTTAATTAAAATTAACAATTTAAAATTTAATTGGGAGCTTTGTAAGATACGAACCTAAAAATTTAGGGCATAAATTACATTTTTTTTTCTATAAAAATATTTAAATTATAATTTTAGTTTAGAGTTAAATTAAAAAATGATCTAATCAAATTTGAAATTTGTATTCGGTTGTTATTTTGAAAAAAAGAACTTCCAAATAAGAACTGTTCACCGCGTTATGAGCGAAACTTTATTACCCAACTAAACTAAATCAAGGATTTCTCTCTTCGCCTTTGTCAAACAGCAGGAGATTCCACCGCCGCCGGTCGCCGTCGCCTCCGCCACCACCACCTCATCTGTGGTGCTGCTCCAAGATCCAAGTCCTGCAACTCCACGGAGGAATCTTCGTTCCCCTTTACCTCTGCCTCTGCTCCCCCGCTTGGGGATGCCGATCAAGAGGCCACTCTACAACCGCCTGAACCATCGTCCTTTCCCCCGGCGCCGGTAGTTTCAGAAACTATAATGTCTTCGAGGGATCCTAACGCCATCTTCAGTGGAGGCGGTATCAGGTCTTTGACTCTTTCTTTTCTTTCTCGTCATATTTCAAGGTGCTTTCTGCTGTGAATCTCTCTATTGTGACTTTTTCTCTCCCGCCCTTGTTTTTTGAATTACTTTTCATTAAAGCGTCGTCTATGGGGTTGGACCATTGGATTTTTCCGTTCAAGCTTCTTACTCGTTGTATTTATGATTCTCGTGACATTCCATATCTGGATGGAGACACCGAATTACAGATTTATATTTTCATGTTTTAAATTTGCCTTGTTTTTAGAGGGAGTGGTATTTTTAGGCAAGGAGTTGCAATGGCGTTTGTAAAAGAGGCTTCAATTGAAACTTATGGATATTTATTTGACCAGTACTTTGTGTAGTCTACTTTGCTGTGAAGAGTGGTCCAAACTACCTCGCCATTGCATCCATGGTGGACCTGAGTTTTTGGTTTAACTTTCTGCTTTAGCAATAAGATTCCTTTCGACGCCTTTTTTTAAGACTTGAAGCAACCAATGTGCAATGACTGAGTTCTTAAAGGTGCTCATAGGTCCCAGTATCATCTGAGGTGTGATTTTGGGTTGCCCTTATGGATGGGTTTCTCAGCCATGCATCATTTAATTTCTTTAAGAACTTAATAATCCTTAGTTTTGGGTTTTTGATAGTTTTTTTTTCTAGAGGCAAGTCTAGAGGTATGATATTG